TATATGTAATCATTCTATTTTTCTTACTGTTTAGTGTTAAAGATTAGAGCAAACAAAATTGCAAGTTTTAGGGGTAGTTAAAAGCACTAGTTTTACTAATAGTCTTTTTTTTCTTTACTGCATAGCTTTCATTCTTTAAAGAGGTTAACCTTACATATAATATACTTTTTTGTTATTCTGCTTTCACTTATCTTGCATTTTGTTCTCTAAACTCACTTTTTGTACTTTTATACACTCTTATATTGCTTTTTTCACTTTCTCTTTTTTGCTTCTTGCATATTCTCTTATGCTCTTGCATCTTGCTTTTCATATTTTTTTTTGTACTCTTGCATCTCTTTTTTCGTACTTTATTGTTTTCTTTTTTTTTTTTTATATATAGGAGGTCAAAAGTAGAAATCACACAATTTGTTTTTAATAAGTTTTTTAAAACTTTTAATTAAAATATCTTGGCTACTATTAAACCAAATCTAATAAATTTTTTTTTATTTTAATTCTATAACTATATAAAATTAAAATAAAAAAAAATTTGTCAAGTTTGGTTTAATAGTTGTTGAAATATTTTAATTTAAAGTTTGAAAAAAATTTACTTAGAAACAAATTAGATGGTTTTTATTTTTGACCGTTTATATATATATATATATTTTTTTTTTATACAGTCAAACTTCTATAAATGCAACATGTACAGACCAGCCTAAAACATGCATTTAGGGAGGTTTGCATTTAGAGGGAGCCAATCAAATTGCAGTTTTTAATATTTGATTTGCAAACTTGTATAACAAACTTAAATACTGACTTCTGATTGGCTACATGCACTTAGAAAGATTAGTATGATATAAAAAATCTTTTGAGTAAATGTGCATTTGCAAAATATAGAATGTGCATTTAGCACTAATGATTTCATACAGCCAAGACAAAAACGTGCATTTAGAGAGGTATTGCATTTATAGAGGTTGCATTTAGAGAGATCTGACTGTAACAGATTAGTACCAAGGTAGCTAAAAGTTTTAAATAAGTGACTTTTTTTTTGCAAACAGAACTTTTTCAGTTTTTTTTATTCTATTTTATTTTATTTTTTCCACAACAAATTATTTATTGTTCTAGCATTTATTCTTTTTTTCAATAGTATGAAGACTCTTTTCTAGTATAGAAAATATTTTACTATTAATACATGAAAGTTCATATGATAGAATTGAGAATAAATACGGTGAAATTGAAAACAATAGTGATTTAGAATTTGAAAAGAAAATAGAAGATGAACTTGGTATTGAATATGAAAAGAATACTAAGATGAACCTGATACTAAATATGAAAAGGATACTGAAGATGAACTTGGTATTGAATTTAATATTGTTAGTGAATCTGAACCTGATACTGAGCATAAAAAGGATACTAAAAATAGACCTGGTATTGAATTTGAAGAGGATATTAATATTGTTAGTAAATTAGATAATGTTTTAGAAAATATTAATAATTATTAACATGGATACCTACCTCCAATCCACATTAAAAATTTATTATAAAAAAACTTTTAGAACATAAAAAAAATATCAAGAGATATTAGAACATTATATACATCAAAATAACTTTGCAATCTGAAAAAAGCAAGTAGATAAATAGCCTTGATCTATGTCAGCATACTTGGAATTGTGAATAGTCTGGTAAATATGTCTTACGTAAACCTGCTTCATCTGAAAAGCAAAGAAATAAGAGTTCAAAAAGAATTAGTTGTTTTTTCTTGATGAATACATACAAAAGTAAGGGCCCTAATAATAAAACTATAATTAAGTTAATATTGATGAAACTTGAACACAACTATCTGTTAGTTTCTAAAAATGCTAGCTTTGCTACTAGCTATTGGAAATTTATCACAGAATGAAGAAGTTTATTAAAAACTATGTTTTTTGTAACATTGATGTTTTATCTCAGGTTCAGTTACTCTATAAGTTATTTCTTGAAGCCACAATTGTGAATTATAATATAAAAAACTATATATATATATAAGTTTCGTCATACTCATGATATACAGGAATGTGATACTGCAAAGCTTTTTCAGTACTTTGAAAAAGAGCGTACCAAGAATCCTGATTAGTATGTTCAATTATTAATTGATCCAGAAACAAACAGATTACAAGATGTATTCTATATGATCTCTAAACAATGCAAACTTTGGCAATATTATACAGATATTATTTTAAATAACAATACAGCAGTGACCAACGCCTATAAACTTTCATTGTATATTTTTGCTATTGTAGATAATAATTTCAAATCACAAATTGTTGTACAGGCTATATTGCTTGATAAAACAAGTGAAAGTTATAGATGGATTTTATAGCAAACAATTGAGGCTACAGGAGTTCAGCCTAGTACTTTTATAATTGATGCAAATCCAAGTCTTGAAAGTATTGTTTCCAAATATATAGGGGAAGTCAATAGAAAACCAACAAATTGTTTTTAGTAACTTTTTTTACAAATTTAAATTCAAATATCT